GTGAATGATGTGCATGTTAAAGGTTGGAGCTTTGGATTCTGAATTGAATTGTTCTTGGTTCTGCAGATGGGAAGAATATGGAACAATGGCTGTCGACTATGGAGAAGCTATAAACCGATTTCTCCGGCCACATTTCCGTTGAAACTTCAATTTTGAAAAATGTCAATCTATGGTTCTTCGTTGGAATTGGGGATTTTTTTTAATTGAGCATATAAGAAAACGAATTTGAAATCTGGGTTTTGGGTTTTACACGGGTCGGGTTTAAATTTTAACCGGGTTTCAAATTCGGTTTACTCACTGGTTTAACTGATTTCTGGTCTGGTTTTCTTATTAACCGATAAAATCGATTTATGTGGGGAAATATTATTGTAACTTTCATTTTGTGGGGTAATAGTATGAGGTTAATTTTATGTGTCTATCTAGAGTTATATGAAATTTTCTAAGGGGGAATTAGTACGTTTTTCCCATAAATTTTCAACATTTAGACCAACGCGGGTTTTAAACCGAGATATGATGATACAAATCAATCCATAGTAAGAACCATAGTAAAATAAAACGTCCGGTTTCTCTTCATGAAAACTTAAATGCATGATTACACTGTGCTTAACTTAACATAGATTTCAACATTTTTTTAACAAATTAGTGTACCGATTAGATTAGTAAGTAATTAGTATTAATTTTTTCTAAAACTAGAAAAAACGGGCTCGACTTTCTTCTATATATAAACATATCAAGTCCAGACGCGCCCTAGTTGCCCTGATTGAATACACGTTGAAAAAGAATTCAATAATAAAAAAACCTATAAAGTTGATTATATTACTCTTATTAGAATCAAAATTTTAAAATCATAGTAATAAACTTTATACATTTTTAAAGAAAAAACCATACCTACCCCTCTATCTCTCTCCTCTGTTTAGTTGTATATATATATATATACGATTACTCTGCTCATAGATCTAACCAAAAAAAACAAACAAAGATATAGATTAGAGACAAGAATCAAAATGAAGTTCGGTAAGGAATTTTCATCTCAGATGGTACCAGAGTGGGAACGAGCTTACATGGATTACGATTTCCTCAAAACGCTCCTCAAAGAAATCATCAGATTCAAACTCAGAACCAACAATGCACCTCCTCGTGGTGGCTCCTCCAACAACCATCACGACGGTGGATTAAACCGGAAAATGACTCTATACCGTGCTTTTAGCGGTTTAGTCTCAACTCCAGGAAGACAAAGACGAAGCACCAGTCCTCAAGATATCGAAGAAGGTATACAATTGACGTCGTCTACGTCGACGTCAGGGCCGATTCTGGTGAATAAAACGGCGAGTAGAGGTTGCGAGACGACGTTTCTGATGGCGGCGGAGGAAGGAGGAGAGTACGAGCTGGTGTTTTTCCGGCGATTAGACGATGAGTTTAACAAAGTCGAGAAGTTTTACAAGGAGAAAGTCGAGGAAGTGATGAAAGAAGCTGTTGTGTTGAATAAACAGATGGATGCTTTGATTGCGTTTCGTGTGAAAGTTGAGAATCCTGAAGGTTGGGGATGGGATGAACGGACGGTTGAGATTACGAGATTGGCTTCCGATATCGCTACTTCTGCGGCGGCTCTCTCGGCTTCTACTCCCGCCGGTGCTAAATCCAGTAAGCAATCATCAACTCTCAGCTACTTTCTACCTAACTCAGCTGACTTTTTATGACCGGGGAAAAAAACAAGAACGTTGGTTCAGTTTTATGTTCGGTTTAATCAGATTTGATAGTACCAAAACCGGATTTTTGATTTGGTTTGAATTTTGTTTTCTGGTTTATGAACATCATACCAAAAGCGGAGTATAATTAGTTTAGTTCTTGTTTTTTTGCCAAGTGATTTTTGATGTTTTGAATTTTGTTAGTGTGAACTGTGTATACATTTCAGTCATTTTGTTTTGGAAAAATGGC